ACTTGAGGCCAGAGGGAGAAGGGGTGAGGGGAAGTGATCTGGTCAGTAACAAGAGAGTCCAAGGTGGGGTTTGAGGAGGAGGATGGGGCAAAGGTCCGGATGTGGACAGCAAAGCAAGGTGCACACACAGGACCCGAGTTCCAGGGCAGTGAAAGAGGAACAGCCCTATATGGGGAGGGCACTGAAGACTCAGGGTCCTAGGGACGGAGAGACCCCCAGGTTTACATGAAAGCAGCAGGTAGGGGCAGGAGGATATGGGCAAGAACTGGGTGGCCTGGGGGACCACAGGCTGGGACCCAAATGGGGATTAGAATGTAGGCCTCCCAGCTCTTTGGGAGGCTAGGAGTTTCAGACCAGCCTGACAACATAGCAAGACCCCATCTCTATTAAAAAACAACAACAACAACAACAAAAAAACAGCCAGGGATGGTGGCTGTACCTGTAGTCCCAGCTACTCAGGAGGCTGAGGCAGGAGGATGGCTTGAGCCCGGGAGTTAGAGGCTATAGTGAGCTATGATGACGCCACTGCACTCCAGCCTGGGCAACAGAGTGAGACCCTGTCTCTTAAAAAAAAAGAAAAGAATGCAAGGGCTAAAGGTGGCCCAAAAGAGCCTGTCGCCTCTTGTGGTGACCAATGCCTGTGCCTGCCGCCTCACCCCTACTGCAGCCTCAGCATGGCAGGAGATGCCCAGGAAAGTCATTTGAATTCACTCACTGTCCCCCAGTCCCCAGAGCAGCTATCCTTCCCCGGGTCACCAACACCTGCAGGGACGGGAGGGATCTGTGTGTTGGAGGGGACTCAGTGCTCCCCTGTCAGAGCTCAGTGTAACCTTAACCCCCTAGGCTCAAGCAATCCTCCTGCCTTGGCCTCCCCAGCAGCCAGGACTACAGGCATGCCCCACCACCCCCAGCTAATTGTTTTAAATTTTTTGTAGAGACAGGGTCTCATTCTGTTGCCCAGGCTGGTCTCAAACTCCTGGTCTCAAGCGACCCTCCAGCTTGGGTCCCCAAAGTGAAGTAATGTCCTTAAATTGAGGTCTACTTCACCCCAGCGCCAAGAATTCCCTTTGTCTGCAAAGCAGGAGCAGGGTCGCAGCAGAGCTGGGGGACTGGTGTGGTCAGCAGGCCCTTGGCAATCCAGGCGACAAAACAAAACGAGAAACCGAGGAAGGGCCTGGGGCTACCTGTGCCAGGCCAGCCCCTCTCCGCATTCTTCTCCAGGGTCTCACCCCAGCGGCCCCCCACTCCCTGGTCCCCGCCCACCCTTCCTTGGCTCTGACCGGTATCCAGCAGCAGGCTCGAGATGGCCAGGTTCCCATGGGACACGCTGTAGTGCAGGGCCGTGTTCCCGTTGCCGTCTGCCAGGTTCACCACGTGCGCCAGCAGCTCTGGTCCCAGGCTCCTCACCCCTTCCAGCACCCTGGCCACGGCCTCTGCCTGAGAGCGCCGCTGACTCGACACTCGAAACCACTCTTGGGCCACCAGGCGTGCCGCGCCCTGCAGCGACAGGGGCAAAGACGGCGTCAGCCATGGTCCAGGGGCGGTGGCAGGGACAGGGTGGGGGCTGGGAAGGCCCTTTTGGTGTTCAGGCAGGTCACCGATTGTCCCAAGGTGGGGGCGGGCTGGGGCTGCAACCCAGAGAGGGAGGGCGTCCTTCCCTTCTGGGGGACAATCTGTGACGACCTGGAGTGGGGGAACAGGTGAGCGCTTGCCCTTGGGGAGTCGGGGACTGGGGCTGGGGTCAGGCGCCTTTTGGGGAACCAAGGAAAGGTCGCCTCTGTCCTGAGGCGGAGAGCGTTTTGGAGAGCCGGGGTCAGGGAAGGTCCCGGTGGGGCCCGTGTGACTTCCCGGGGACGGCTCTCCGGGCACTCACGCTGTCGCGGGCCCCGCCGCGGGGCCGGCTCAGCTGGCGCTGCAGCGCGGCGCACGCCTCCCTCAGCCGCGGGCTCAGCTCGCACCTGCCAGGGCGGCGGGGACAGGCTCAGGGATCAGAGGCAGCGGCGACAGGGAGGGGTGCAGCCGCCCGCCCCAAGCCCCTAGAGCCTCTCACCTCCCCTGTGCCGCTGGCTGAGGCTCGGCCTCTACCTCGGGCTCAGGGTCCGAGACATCCCCGCTGGTAGGAGGGCCGGGGTCAGATCCCCCGCCGCTGTCCTCCCCAGAGCCCGAGGAGCTCCTGGAGGGCTCGGCGCCACCGTCCTCGTCCTCGCTGTCGCTGGCGTCCTCGCTGGACGAGCTCTCGTACCTGGGGGCAGGGTAGGAGGCGTCGGCTGAGCCTCCCCTGGGGGCCCGGTCTGGAGTCCTGCGGGGTGGGAGTGGCTGTCCCCATTTCACAGATGAGGAAACTGAGGACTGCCAAGACCACGCTGCGAGCAGAGGGGCAGAGCTGGGGAATCCGACCCGGCCTACGCCTCAGCAGATGCTGCCACGGGAGGGGGAGGTGCTCACTCTCCGTTGAGGACCCCAACAAACTGCAAGCTTTTGGGTCCAGGGCTGGGCTGGGCACCAGGTGTACCGTCTCTCTTCTTCATGATGGATTTGAGGATGCCTGGCGGGGATCAGACGAGGACACTGAGTTCCAGTCCCGGGCGCGAAGGCCAGGACTCACGCAGCCAGGGGGCCGGACTCACCCGCGGGGGCCACGGCCCTGTCTCCCTCCGCGGATCCCGGAGCGTCCTCCTGAGTCAGGGACGGGGCCTCCGCCGGGGGCTCGGTCTGCGTGGCCTTCTCGGTACCTCTCCACGGGGTCTGGGTGGCGGCCTCGCAGGCCGCCGCCGCCTCTTCCGCAGCAGCCTCGCGGGCGTCCTCCAGCTCCCGCAGCCGGCCCCGCAGGAGCTCGCTCACCCCGCGCTGGTGCTCCAGGCTGGCGCGCAGCAGCTCCAGCTCGCGCTCGGCGGCCACGGGCAGCCCCAGCAGCGCCTCGGTCACCCACGCGTCCGCCTCAACGGTCTCGGGGGCCGCCTCCACGCCGGCCTCCCGGGTCTCCGGCACCGCCAGGGCACCCTCATCTTGGGTCTCGGGCGTGGCCTGGGCTCCCGCCTCCCGGGTTTGGGGCGCCCAGTCGGGCGGCCGGGACGCGCCGTCGAGAACCTGGAGTGCGTCCTCGCTGCGCATGGCAGCCAACCCGTCGGGGCCGTCAGCCCGGGGACTGGCCCTGGCGCGGACGCCGCGCTCGGAGGTGGCCAGGAGCTCGGTGAGCCGCCGCAGCTGGGCGAGCTTGTCCGGGCGCGCCTCGGCCTCCCCGTCGGGCTCGGGCTGCGCGCGCCCGGCCAGCAGCCTGGCCTTCTCGGCGCGCAGCGCGCGCACCTGCTCGTGCAGCTCGGGCAGCGCGCGCGCCTGGTCCTCGAGCTCGCGCAGGCGCCGCAGCGCCGCGGCCATCTGCTCGCGCACCAGCTGCAGCTGCGCGGGGCCCGGCGACGCGGGGGCGCGGTTGGGGGCGGGGCTGCTGCGGCCGGACCCCCGCGGGCTGAGCGCGCCCGCGCGGGCGGGGCTGGGCGCGCGCTCGTGCGCCTGCGCCTGCTCCAGCCGTCGGCTGGTCTCCAGCAGCGTGTGCTCGACGCGTGGGTTGCGCACGGGCGCGCGCGGGGACAGCGGCGGCAGCAGGAGCCCCGAGGGCGCTCCGCCGTCGTCGCTGGCCAGGGACTCGCTGGATGTCCAGGCGCCTGGGCTGCGCGCGCCAGCCAGGCTGGGCCGCGGCGCGCGGGGGCGGCGTGCGGGCGGGGGTCCCAGGGCGCGGCGGGCTGCGGGGCCGCGCTCCAGCTCCTCCACGTACTTGAGGAAGTCCAGGTCCAGGTGGAAACCGTAGGGCGTCTCCACCGAGTAGGGCGAGCTTGGGCTGCGGGCGCCCCCGCTGGGGCCCGGGCACAGGCGAGGGCCGCCCAGGTCTGCGGGCAGGACAGGGACATGGGGGGGCAGGTCACGGAGCGTGTCCCCCCCCAGCGCCCCACCACGCGCCTGCATGACTGCCACAGCACACACCCACGCCCAAGGCTCGCACACCTATCTGCACCCAAATAGTCACCCCATCAGACGTTATCGAGCGCCTACTGTGTACCAAGCACTTTTCTAGGCGCTGGGGACAAAGCTGCGAGCAAGACAGCCATCCCTGCCCTCTTGTAGGAAGCAGATAAACGGAATCATTGCAAAGGGTGCTTAGGGCGGTGGCAAAACAGCGCGAAGATGAAATGGGGAGTGACTGGAGGGCGCCAGGCTTTGCTCTGATTGCCAGGGATGGAGGAGACTTAAAAAGTTGGGCTGTGCATGACCAAGGAGGAAGCAGCTGTGGACCGACGGTTTCTAGAAGATAACAGCCCATGCAAAGACCCTGGGTGGGATTGAGGGGAGTTGGCTGGAGGCCCAGCGGGGTGGAGGCCCAGCGGGGTGGAGGCCAGGTGCCCTGAGCAGACGAGGGGGCCCTCTGGGTTTTAAGAACGGTCATGACACTGCCCAGTAGGCCTTTGGGAAGGGCCCTCTGGCCACTGTGCAAAGGAAGGACCTGCAGGGCTGTGTCCACACCTCCCATGTTGCACACTCACCGGGCAGGTTCTGGTTCAGGGCAAACTTGGCCATGCTTTCTCCAGTAGCTGCCAGACAGACCCTGAAAAAGGGTCCCAGAGAGGGTGAGGGTGGGGCCGGGCCCTGTCCCTCAGGCTGGGGCTGCTGGCTTAACCCACCCTCTCCCCCCACCCCGCCCTCCCTCTCCTTCCTCCTCCCGGAAGAGACCTGGAAACTTTGGACTGAATGAATGAAGGAAGGAAGGAAGGAATGAAGGGGTCCCCAAGCCTCAGCCTGCTGAGCAGGAGGAGGCGGGAAAAAGCAAGCCAAGAGAGGAAGATGAACAATAAAATAAGCCTAGCTGGGTGTGGGGAGGCATTCAGACCTGTGAAGGGTTCTGTTAGCTTCTGAGGTAAATTAGAAATCCATGCTCAAGGCCAGGCGCGGTGGCTCACGCCTGTAATCCTAGCACTCTGGGAGGCCGAGGCTGGGAGGATCGTTTGAGTTCAGGAGTTCGAGACCAGCCTGAGCAAGACCCAGACCCTGTCTCTACAAAAAAAAAATGGAAAAATTAGTCGGGTGTGGTGGTGGCACCTGTAGTCCCAGCTACTCGGGAGGCTGAGGCAGGAGGATTGAGCGAGCCCAGGAGCTGGAGGCTGCAGTGAGCTGTGATGACACCACTGCACTCTACCTGGAGCAACAGAGCAAGACTGTCTCTGGAAAAAAGAAAAAAGAAATCTATGCTCAAATAGGTGAGCTGTGAGCCTTTAGAAAAGGGAGGTGAGAGTTGGAAGCCTTTCATGGGCTCATTAGAAACTCATCTTGCTAGGTGAGGTGGCTCACGCCTGTAATCCCAGCACTCTGGGAGGCTGAGGCGGAGGATCGCTCGAGGTCAGGAGTTCGAAACCAGCCTGAGCAAGAGTGAGACCCCCATCTCTACCAAAAATAGAAAGAAATTAATTGGCCAACTAATATATATATAGAAAAAATTAGCTGGGCGTGGTGGCGCATGCCTGTAGTCCCAGCTACTTGCGAGGCTGAGGCAGGAGGATGGCTTGAGCCCAGGAGTTTGAGGTTGCTGTGAGCTAGGCTGACGCCACGGCACTCTAACCCAGGCAACAGAGTGAGACTCTGTCTCAAAAAAAAAACCCCAAAAAACAACTCATCTGCACAAATATATATATAAAGAGAGGATATTTGAATATTTTTTTTCTTAGAGAAATGCAAACAAGATGTAATTGTGTATCTGAATTTTTGCCGAGGAAACTTAGGAGCCCCTTGTAGGCATGACGGGGAATTGTGGGCCGGATGCACCAAAGGCTGCAAATCAGTGGATGTCTGTCTCCCCGGAACGTCTCCAGTGGAGTGCCACGGGGCTTGGTCCTTTGTTGTAAGGCTTGCAATGGGACCACAGCACCCAGGTTTTGTGGCTCTCCATGGGACTGGCAGGGAAAGCAACTCTTCGGGCTCTACAAAAGCAAGATGGGGTGACACCGAATCATGTGACATTTAACAAGGACAAATGTTGAGTCTAGAACTTCAGTTCCCAGGGTGGGAAAGATGGGACTTTGGAAAGCCCACATGGAAAACCTTCGGGGAGTGGAAGGCAGACTGTATTGAGTGCCTACTGTATGCCCCGCCTGATGACATGTAACCCTGCTACGATCCTGTGAGACAGATGTTGTCATGCCCATTTTACAGATGGGGAGACTGAAGCAGAGAGTGCTTAAGTCAATTCCCTGTGGGAAATGACCTCGGATCCGGCTCTGCCCACCTTCTGGGGACTCCTTGCCAGTGGAGCCCGGCCGCAACTTCTCACTACCCCCTTGCCTGTCCAGCCCTCCCCTGGCAGGCACCTGCCAGTCCCGATCGACAGTTTCCCTGGCCCACTGCCCTCTGCGCTAACCACCTGGCGACCCTCCCAGCCACCCCTTCCGACCTGTCACATCCCAGACGACCACCTGTGTGCCTGACACCGCCAGCCATTCAGCCTGTCTGGCTCATCACCCTGCTCCGCCCCTTCCTCGTCCCACCTCTGTCCACCCTGGGTCCCCAGACCTCCCTTCTCACCCCAAGGCCAGGTGGGGGAGCCCTCCCCAGTCTCCAAGCAGCTGTTTCCCGTCCCTCACACCAGCTGCAGGCCAGCAGGGCAGCGGGTCATCTCGGACAACAGCCAGTACCTCCCGCAGCTTGTTTTCAGGAAACTGCCAGGGAAGAACCAGGTTGTGGGAAAAGTCCAGATTGGAGGCGATAGGAGTCTCCCAGCTGCCCGAGTGACCCAGTGAGGTCAGCTCCCTCCTCCGGTGACCTGGTCACACCTAAATCTGAGCCCCTGGGATCTCAGAAAATATCTGTGGGCGGTTCCTAAGACCTAAACCAGCTGGAGCAGCTGGACCCAGAGGCAGGGCTGAAAAACAGGTGATGCCCCCAGAATGGTAAATGACAACAATGACACTTTTGGCATTGACTAGGGGCCAGCCTCTATTCTAAGCGATTTATGGGTATTGAGTTGTTTTTTAAAAATCCTAGCTAAAGCCTCTGAGATTGGCTTTCCTATTTTCACCGTCCTCCCATTGTACAGATGGAGAAACTAAGGCGCGGATTAAATGTCCTGTCCAAGATCACACATGGTAGGATTCGAACCCACGTAGCTAGTCCGGAGTCCCCAGATTGGCTCCTAAACTTGAGAATGGCTTCTAGAAATAGCCCCTTTCCCCTTGCCAGGAGGGACAGGGAGCCTGAGGAGGTTTGGCCCTCCCAGTCTCCGCCCTGTGTCCCTGATTGGGACTGCCGGGAGTGTGGAAGGACAGGCCCGCACGTCTGCCGCTCCAGGGGCTGCAGACTCACTGGAGTGGGGGCCCCTCTCCCCCACCCCCCCGCTCCCGGTCTCCAAGCCCTGGCTGTCACCACTGGATCCGGATCCTCTGCCTGAGACCCCCTCATTAGGCCGTCACAGCCGACGCCAGACGCCCCCTCTCCCGCCCCAGGGACTATTTCGGGGCGCCGAGCTACGATCACGCAGCCGGAGGGGTGGGGGCCGCGGCGGGCCACTGCGCATCTCAGTCCTGGGGAGGGGGCGCCTTCCAGGAGGCCCTGGGTGTTGGCACCCCCTAATGCTGGGGCGGGACTCTCAGACCCCTGAGATGCGGCGGAGGGAGGGACGGGGGAGGCTGATGACAGAAGGGGGGGCTGCTCAGGTCAGCTGCACACACCCCCCCCAGGTCGGCCTCGCAGAGACAGGGCAGTTTCCTACAGGAAACGCCGCCGGGCGGTCCCATCCGCTGCCCATTGTCTCCAGCCCGGGGGCCATCCGTCCCTCCCCGCGGCGCCGCTTCCGCCTCGCCCCCCCACACCCTGCGCAGCGCCAGGGGCTGGACCCCGACCCCAGCCGGCCCGGAGCAACGCTGGGAGGGGGTCCAGGCCCGGTTGGGGCGCTAGGGGGGCCAACAAGCTCCCCGCTCTGGCTCCCGAAAGGCGAGAGGGGCGACCTCGGGGGTCCGGGCCCCCCGTTCCGCCCGCTACCCACCTGGGGCCCCCAGCGCAGCGGGGTCCCGGCCGGGACGCGGAGCCCGCCCCGTCGCGGCGCGCTGCACCCGAAGGCCGGCTGGAAGCGCAGCGCCGCGCCCCGTCCCGGTGGCCCCGACCCCTCCCCAGGACCCCCGTCGCTGTCCGGCCAGCCCGCGCTTTACCTGAAGCCGCAGCCCCGCCGCGCCCGCACCCGAGCCCGCCCCCTCGAAGCGCCGGGACCCGTTTTCAAGGCTTTGACGCTAACTGACGGCCACTCCAGCCAACCAGCACGCGAGGCTCTCCGAGCTGTCCAATGGTGAGGTGGGGCGGGACTCTAGTGGGCGGGGCCTGGAGTGTGGGTCGCAGCTGGGGGCGTGGCCTGGAGTGACACTCTCCCAGGGAGGGCGGGACCCGCCGGCCGCGTTTCTGCCCAAACTGCGGTCGAGTCCTGCACAGCGCGGGGCTGAGGAGCTTGGGTTTGACCCACAGGGCACTAGGGAGCCATGGGAGGACTCTGAGTAGAAGAGTAATCCAGTGGATTAGTGTGACTGGAGCTAATTTCCCAGTATCAAGGTGAGGTACCAGGACCCTGGCTCTTAACCACCGCAGGGCCTTTGCACATGCTGCTCCACCGTCCTGAAATGTTTTTCCTTGCACCTGTGGCCACCTTCTCCTTCTCCTGCTTTTTGAGGCTCGACCTGTGTGTTCCCGCCCCCTAAACGCCTAACGTGGCCCCTCCCCAGTCAGTATTTTCCCCATCGCTTTGCTTTATGAACCTAATAGCTGCTTTCGTCCTATGGGACAAACAAAACTAAACATTTAAGTAAGTAAACTAAGTAAACTAAACATTTAACAAATAAACAAATAAACTTGAACTGATTGGTTTTGGTGACTGCTTTATCCAGCGACCCTGGCATGAAGTAGGTGCTTAATAAGTGTTTGTTAAAATAATGACTGAAGTTCAGTGAATTTAAGTGGCTATGTATTAAAAAATAAAATAAAATAAAATAAAATAATGACTGAAGGGTCCGGTGTGGTGGCTCATGGCTGTAATCCCAGTACTTTGGGAGGCCAAGGTGGGATGAGGGCTTAAGACCAGGAGTTCGAGACCAGCCTAAGCAAGGCGAGACCCCCATCTCTACAAAAAAATAAGAAAAATTAGCTGGGCACGGTGGTGCGTGCCTGTAGTCCCAGCTACTTGGGAGGCTGAGGCAGGAGGATCACTTGAGCCCAGGAGTTTGAGGTTGCTGTGAGCTACGATCTCACCACTGCACTCTAGTCCAGGCAACAGAAGGGAGACCCTGTCTCAAAGCATGATAATTATAGTTTAGGAATAAATATTAGGATTAAAATAATAATAGTTTAACATTACATTTAACTCTTTAACCCATTTGGAGTATATTGTGATCTAAAGTGACTATACAGATTGTTTTCCCCCCTATTCATTTAGCATTTATTGAGCACCTACTGTGTACCTGGCACTGTGTAGGTCCTTCAGACGACACAATCCCAGCTATCCTGGACTTCATAGCTTTTTTTTTTTTTTTTGGAGGAGAGACTTCATACCTGAGAAGTGGAGATGTAATTTTGAGCTAAGATTTTTGTTTTGTTTTGTCATATTTTGAACAGAGTCTCACTCTGTTGCCCCAGCTAGAGCGCAGTGGCGTCATCACAGCTCACAGCAACCTCAAACTCCTGGGTCAAGTGATCCTCCCACCTCAGCTTCCCAAAGCGCTGGGACTACAGGCATGAGCCTCCACACCTGGCCTCCACTGGAATTTTAAGAATACTTTTTATTATAAAATAAAGCACGCACAAACACACACACAGCCAAATCCAAAAAAAAACAAAAAACAAAAAACAACTGCATAAAACTAATGTATAGTTTAAGGAGTTATTCTAAGAGGGAGTTCTCAACCAGGGTGATTTTGCCCTTGGGGACCTTTGGCAATATCTAGGGACATTTTTGGTTGACTTGGGGAGGAGGGCATCAAGTGGGTAGGAGCCTGGGATGTAGCTAAATACTCTAAATGCACAGAACAGCCCCTTTGACCAAGAATTATCTGGCCTGAATGTCAACTCTTCTAGGTTTGAGAAAGCCAGCTCTAAGGTGAACATTATTGTACCCATCCCCCACCCCAGGTCACCAAACAGCAGTTCACAGCTCCCCAGAACCCCCTCCCTGGGCTGTTTCCCAATCACAGCTGTCCCCTCGCTCCCCAAAGTAACTGTGGTTGTGGCTTTCTCAGTAATCCCTGCCTTGCACCTCTGTGTAGTTCTATCACCCAGTTATGACGATCTAGACACCGGAGTTTAGTTTTGCCCATTCAAAAAGAACATGATGTCTTCGAAGCCTCTCGTAATTCACATGTTCCTCTGCATCCCTTTCCTTCCCTTCAGATAAAAACGATTGCACAACTCACCGCTTGTATTCAAGCATTTCCCTTAATCTAGGGTGTTGCTGATCCTACACTCATAGTGCAATTAGTTCAGGAACATTCCTCTGTCCTCTGTATTCCCTGCAAATTGGCAGTTGGTTCTAGAACGAGGCTCAAACGGAGATGGGGGGAGGGTCTTGCTTTGTCACCCAGGCTGGAGTGCGGTGGCACGATCATAGCTCACTGCAGCCTCAAACTCCTGGGCTCAAGCGATCCTCCTGCCTCAGCCTCCCGAGTAGCTGGGACTACAGGTGCACTATCATGCCCAGGTCAAGCCTTATTTTGAAAATAGTTGTACAAAGGGAAAAAAGGAAATTCTTGTCTTGCTTTTCCTCTGTGAAGGTGTCACTGAGAAACTAAATAGTACGTAAGGAGAATGAATTATCCTACGAAGGTAGTCATAGGATTCTGGTTCGATTCCTTTGGCACAGCTATGTGTGGTGGTGTGTCCCTTCACAAGAGACTCGTGCTGTTTGGGTGTCTCTCCTCTCGTGAGGCTAGCGGGCACTGAGGATTAACTCATTGGGGTTGCAAAATAGTGATGTCCTCTCCTCTGTAGCCCTCGTGTAGTAGCTAGAATTCTTCCTTCGTAGGATAATTCTCCTTATGTACTATTTAGTTCCTCAGTGACACCTTCACAGAGGAAAGACAGGACAAGAATTTCTTTTTTTCCCTTTGTACAACTATTTTCAAAATAAGGGTTGACCTGGGCATGATAGTGCACCTGTAGTCCCAGCTACTCGGGAGGCTGAGGCAGGAGGATGGCTTGAGCCCAGGAGTTTGAGGCTGCAGTGAGCTATGATCATGCCACCGCACTCCAGCCCGGGTGACAAAACGAGATCCCCCCATCTCCGAAAAATTTTTTAAAAATTGAAAAAGCAAAATAGTGACTGGATTCTCCAACATCCTCTGAAGGTGATGAATTGGGGGTTTTAGTTTTTATTTTATTTTAGAGACTGGGTCTTGCTCTGTCACCCAGGCTGGAGAGTGCAATGGTGCAATCACAGCTCCCTATAACCTCAAACTCCTGGCCTCAAGTGATCCTCCCGCCCTGGCCTCCCAAAGTGCTGGGATTATAGGCTTGAGATATCTCACCCGGCGGAGAAGGAATTTTGATTGCAAGGGTGAGGGGAAGGGATGCCATGCTCTTAGACCTCTTAAGTAACTATTTCCCCCACGGATTCCTCATGCCCTGTGTTCATGGCAGAAAATGTGATCCTTTTCTGTCCCACCCTGTCCCAGGCTGAGACCTGAGTCAGAAGGGAAAAGAGGCAGGGAGAAGTGGGCCCTCGGCCCCTCCAGGATGCACGTGACCCCCTTGTTAGCCACTTTCAGCAGCTCTGCCATTTCGAGGGCCATCTAGAAACTCCAGGGCAGCCCCTGCCCGGGTCTGGAATGCCCAGCTGCCCGGAGAGGCTCTTGCCTGGCCCTCCACACCGACACTCCCGACCTGAGGGCTGACCGGCCCCCAGTTGGGGGCTTCTAAGAGTGGCATCTCCTCTGCCCACCCCGTCCCCAGTCTCACCTTCCACCCCCCTCCCGAGGTTCCAAATCCAGCTGGTCCACATCCTGTTAGTTTCATCGCCTGAAATGCAACCCTGTCTCCCACCTTTAGTAATGGAAGATTCCACAGCCCTGGCACGCGTGCCTGCAGCCTCCCTCCCTTAGGCTGCTTGAAAGTTACATGAATGTGCATTTCACTGTCACTCTTTTTTTTTTTTT